CTGCTGCCTCCTGGAGGACACCACGTTGCCATTTATTATAGATGTTGACCGCCACGAGTCTTCCAAGTTTCAGACTCGCGGCGGTGGGTAGGAGTAGGTGCTTCCTCGACTCCATATGGTGGTTGAGGCGCAGGAGGAAGTTCGGCCACGTCTCACGGCCTGTTTGTTCGACTACCCATACCTCGTGGAAGTCAACCGCTTTGACGACGATGCAGCGGTAGTCCTGCAGTGGCAGGTGCGTCCTTACTGTCTGCATTTTTTCGGTGTACTGCGGCTCTTCAGGGTTGGGTCCCTGATGGCTGGTAGGTATGATTTGAACTTCGACTGACTTTTTCATTTGTAGCTTTTTGACTGATCTTGAGGGTCTACGGCACCTCTTTATATAGGACGAGCGCTCTAGTTGCCCCCACTCTCGGCTCGGAGTAAATCAGTGGTAGGGCTGCGGGGGTGCATCTTAGAAACTTGAATGTCTGTCGTAATAATCCTTGAAGCGAATTTTTGCTTTATTCAAATTATTGAAAGCTATGTTGCGGATTTGAGACATGTGAATTATTAATTCTGTTAGGTAATCGCCATATGATTTTAAATTATCACTTGATGGGAATGAGCTAGGTTCCCGAGCTAGTTTTCCAAAAATTAGCTCGTATGGAGTGAAATTTGTTGCTTCATGGACGGAGGTATTGTATGAAAACATTGCGAAGGGAATTCGCAGATCCCAATCTTCGTAATTATCCATGTAGTGTTTGAGGTATTCTGTGAGTACTATGTGACTGCGTTCTAAAGATCCATTGGTTTGAGGTCTGTATCCAGAAGTTGTAATTTGTTTAATTTTGAATATTTCAGCTAGATTTGTTGTTAAGTTGCCAATGAAACTGGTTCTCTTATCTGTTAATATTGCACGGAGTGTCCCGTATATTGCGATAAAATGTCTCGCGAAAGCGTCTGCTATGGTGGTAGCACGAATATTTGGTATTGCTACAGCTAAACAATATTTTGTTAAATTATCCTGCATGGTAAGAATATATCTATTGCCACTGGATGTAATCGGTAAAGGTCCAACTGTATCTAAAGAGATTTTATCAAATGGTTGCAATGGTCTATCGGTAATTGGCATCGGATGGCGAGTCTTTGCACGTACTAATTTCTCTTCTTGACAGCTTCGGCAAGTTCTGATGTATTATCGTATATTATAGTTCTGATTAATTTTATCTTCTGTGGATGGTGTGGTGATGAGGCATTGGCATAAGGTTATTTGATAATCTGTTTCTGAGAAGACGTCTTCCAATGTTTTGTGGAATTCGTTGGGTGATGAATTACGAAAATCTCCTGTTGCTGATATTCGGAATGATTTGATATGGTTTTGTTCGAGGATAGGTATAAAACTTTTTAGTCCGTCTACCACATTTTCTTTATTAATTTTATCATGAAAATGATTAGAAATTACTATGCTGAATGTTTTATATCGTTCATTATTTGACGTTATTACTTGACCTTTCCTGGGTTGTTTTGATAGAAGATTCTGTTTTCTATTGCTTCCATGTAATTATTCCTTGTGATAATAATGCGCTGACTTGTTTTTGAATTTCCTCTTGGTGTATTGGAGGATAACGATATTGCCTGGTGTTGACTGGAATTTCGTCTATCGTGTAAATTGAATGTTTAAAATGAGCAGCTTTTCCGAGCTTATCTCCTGGAAGGAAAATTAGATCGGAAAATTCCTTAACCAAAGCTGTAATGTGAGAAAATTCTTCCCTATTTAAGTATCTGGAATCTAAAGTGTTTAAAATTTCCTGAATCCTTGGCTCTTGTGACCTAAAATTTGATGGGTGTTCTGCGTCTGGATAAAAATCTTCGTCTGATGTACATATGGTGCCGTAAGGTTCAATTTCCTGTGGTTCTATTTCAATTTCAACGGTTTCGTCGCTAGTATTTGTTGCTATTATATGACATTTTCCTCTGTTGTTTGTTACTGCTGCTTCCCCGATATAGAGGTGATCATAATCAGAGGTGAACTAAATTAATAGCGGCTCCACCATCAATTAAAAATTTTCCCGTTCTTGATTCCAGTTCTGGGATCTTTGTTTTGATTCGTGTTGCAGGTGTTTGTTTAAGGAGGGTTTTTCAACAAGCGAAGTTTAAACAATCGTTTGATTCAACGAATAAATCACGCGATTCTCGTTTGTATTTTGGATTGCGCGGATTTTTTCTGCATGATTTCCCATTATGTCCTTTTGTTCCGCAGAGCCAACAATATAAGTTTCTAAATCAAGTCTATATTTTTTTCGCAATCTATTGTACTGTCACGTCCCGGATTTCAGATTTAAAAATCTGTCGCCCGTTTCGATCAAATGATTCTTACCTTTTGTCCCACGCTCCTCTTAAACGACTCGCGTCTGGACGGGATCCTGATCCGTATTGAGTTTACTCTCGGGATTACTATTTATTAGAATATTTTAAGTTTTCGGTCTTACTACTTGGTGAGGTTGAGCACCTTTTGAATGTAGTGTTCCCACCGCGGGTCGTTTGGTGGAATGGTCCACACAGCCTCACGTGCCCCGGGGATGGTTAGTGGGGTGAGCCTCCAAGGTATCGGTGCTGGGGTTGGTGCTGGTACTGATGCTGATGCACCACTCGCGGCTTCGCTACGCACCCGAGCGGAAATTTTCCCGTTTGTGCTGGTCGCACGTAGTCTCTTAGCAACCGACGAATCTGCTCGCGTCTGCCCGACCGGTATTTTCGTACCTTTTCGGTGTTTCTCATCTACTGAGAGGGAAAAATTGGAATTTATAATAGTTTTAATCGGGGATGAATCTCATGTCCCGTCAATCGTTATCAAGCCCGTGCAACCCTTTACGACCGCTGGTTTTGCGTCTATTCCTTTCAAAGCCGGCTTCGACGCCTCGACCCTGATCGGAATATTTGCTCTGCCTTGGATCGAAAAGAAGCCGCGTTAATCAAATCCGTGGCTACTGTTTGGGAAAACCGGCTTCGACCCTCGAACCCTTACAGCAAGCACGAAAATGACTTGGAACCTGAGTACGATGACGGAAAAGAAACCCACGGCCGAGCAATGTTCCTATCTTTAATATTTCTAAATGACCGGCTTCGACGCCTCGATTATAAATCAAAAAGATTGTTGGTTTAACTATAATTCATTCCTTTTTCCCTCTCCGAACGCGTCGAATGATTAAGGAAAAAAAACTAATTGCAACATTTGAATTTGTTAAATTACGTTACTGTTTATTAAGACCCGCGCACGGTCTTTTATTATAGCAATTACAATTAATTACAGTTTGAATAAAGAGATTTACTACCTTAGCTTCGCAATAAAACTCGATGTCTGATTCGACTCGACAAGGACTATAATTTTGGATAACTCGCGACGACTATCTAGTATGACAACTATATGTTTGAAATTTCGAACGGCAACTAACCCGAGCCCCTGAATTGCGGGCGTACTTATACCCCTAATTCGGGACCTTTGGTCCGAAGGAAGGAGAAAAATCATACCACGTGATTTATTAAAAATTCGTGTGTGGTGGTTGATTTCTTCCCATGACGTTAGCAATAACATCTTGCCCGAAATCATTCCTAGGTGTTTAGTCTACCCCTTATCGGTTTTTGGTGACTGACACCAACGATAGCCACTGCCTTCGAAGAAGGCATTGTAACATCGTAACATTTATTGATTTGTGTATTATTCAAGATACATACTGATGAAATTAAATTAATATGATTTTAAATACTTTTTATTTTTCCACTGAAAGTAATAAAATAATTAAAACATGAAAATATTTAAACTAATAAAAAGAAATATTACTTTGAGGAAACGAACGCGGGACAGCTAGACCATACATCGAGGCCTTAACTGCTCGACCACGCCGCTCACTTACAAAGCTGTAGTGAAGTCACGGCTACTCATGTTACGTTACGTGTACATAAAAACACTAATAATTCGGAAACTAACTTTTTATTTTGTTTTTCGGCATTGAATGAGACGCTGATTGATTTATATACTTCGGTTCATTTGAACGGTAGAAGTCAAGTCAACTAGCGGCTAATATTTCATTGCAGCGTCAAGGTCAACGGGCTGTAAAATTTATATTTTTCGATAATCCTTCCACAAAAATGTCTACATACTAATAACATAATACTAGAGACGTTCGTAAAATTTCAAATTACAATCTTGCATACTTCATAAGAAACAAAAATAATAAAGAAGCCGCGGAAGAAGGAATTTCCCATTTAATATAATTATTGTTATCTGGTGAAAATCAGAATTTTCAAAAACATGTATCCATAATTAAAGGCTGTAGTTTACGCATATAAATTTTCATGAATGAGAAACAATTTTTAGTATGGTAAATTAAAAAAAAAATCATGTTTTCAAAAACATATTATTTAAATAAATAAATAAACACTTTCTTCAACCATGAGTAAATTAGCTATTCAAAGACATTTAGTTAAGTCATGTACTTATGCCATGGATTTAATTATCATTTATAGCTTTATACCGTCACAAGCAATTGTAATCTAAAATCTTCCCGGACCTCATTCATTATATTTCTTTGTCAATTAGATTAGATAATATTAATAACGTGTAGCCTAACAATATATTGTCCATAACATTCTTTTTTATTTTCAATTATTCGGCGGAACACTGTGCTCATAACTAAAAGTAAGGCGCTATGCAGATGACGCAATAAACCAGTAAAAATGAAAGAAATTAATTAATTACACTATTTCTCCATGCATTTGTACGATCGACTTATTATTTTACTGGAAATTGCCAATACTTTCCAGTTTTTGGACGGGAGCCCGTGCTGTTGCAGAAACAAAATATATAAAAATGGTGTCTGAGTGTGCATTTTATAATATAAATTTAGATAAATGTTCACTTTGGACGCTGTGTCGGTTGAACATGTACTCTTTGAATTCGTAACATTTTGACGCCATAAATTTAATAATCATTGCCTTTCGAAAGCTACGTGTGATGATATTGTATCGGAAAATGTGTGATTAAATATGACTTAGAATTTATTAAATTTGGATCTGAATTTAATTTGTATGTGGGTTTTTATGCAATTGTTGTGAGTGGGAATATAACGTGTTTTTACATACGAGAATAAGTGATGAAAAATTTTTCGTGTCATTGTGGAGAAAAATATACGAAAACTGTTTAAGTGTGCATTTCATAATACAAATTTAAGGTAATAAATAATCATTTTGTCCAAATAAGAAACACTTGGATATATATATCGTTTGACATATATAGGTTAGAGTAAGGAATAGCTGGATGCCAGTTATTAAGACAGTGGAAGAAAATTCGACCAGATATTGCTAGAAGTAATGCACAAGACACAGTAATGTTGCCTTGTAATATGTGTACGTATGCATTAGAAGTCTAATAAATTTTAACAGTGCAACGTGATATGATACATACACAACGTAATTTAGAATTAAGTTATCTGTATATAAAGTTTGTATTAAAATTATGATTGTATGCGTTTGTGATTTCATTTGTATATATTAATTTGGATGTAAGTATCTGTGTACAGAAGGTGGAAATTGGATGATAACCGAGGAGACAATTTTTGATTCATCAAGGAAGATTAAGAAAATAGTAAACCAGATCAATGAACATGACACAGAACTTTTTTTAGTGGGACTTAATATTTAAAGTTCCCATTACTTGAGTCCTGTGATATGTTGTTGACGATCAGCCAGAGTCAAATGGTGAATTACAAGAAAAAGCAGTTTTACACTTTAACCTATATTAATAGCTAGCATTTAATGTGATTCTGTAGTTATTACATGCATCAAATTGTGTTAGGTTTCTTCAATACAAATGGTAGTTTCCACTTTAGTTTATTCTATATATTGAAAAGTCTCACGATATCTGATAATGTATCTACTTCAAGAAAACTTACTCTTGTAGTTGTAATTAGGCATTAGTTATATTCTTCTACGTAATTATATATGTTTTAATGGTAATTCTATGGTTGCAACGCAACTAGTATTACAGAACATAGGGGAAACGTATAGTATTTAATGAAATACTTGGACAAATGGCAAAAATATTGAATAAAGAGATGCACTTACATTCTCGCAGGATGAATCTGGAAATATATTTAAGATAAAAGAAATAATACTTTTTTCTTTATTTTCAGCGTTTGTCTAGACATCGATGGGAAAATTACAGCAATAAATTTATAGAGTCAACAAATTGAACAGATACAATCAAGAAATTATCCATACAAGAAGATCATTGAATTACATACGTTTGTCTTGCAATTTATAGACCTTAAAAAGAATGTAATGCCATCGTATTTTATAAATCATAATATATCAGAACAGTGACTAATCAATGGTTTACAGAAGCAGTTGAAGGTTCTACAAATATCAATGCAAAGCAAGCAATAAAATAAAGACAATTAGAACAAAACAACTAGAATAAAGCGTACAATAGACAAAATATTTTTACTCAATGAAGAAACAATTGTGGTATATCGAACAGACTATTGCGAAAAATGTACTACCCTCAGTCAAATAAGATTTTTACTTTGTAAACAGATTTATTTCATTTTCTCTACGCGAATGATTTTATATCTATTAGTTAAACTGAATTTAAATGTTTTTTAATGTCTCAGAAGAAATAAATCTTAAATACTATGTTTTCATTAATGCGTTACACAAAAATTGTACACCGCCCAGTGAATAAACACATTTATTACAAAGAATGATAAAAATATATAGACATAGTTGAAACTTTTATAGAAATAGGAGAATTTGATAATATCGAATAAACTGTTAAATTATTAAAAAATTTCAGATTACTAAGTAATTCAACTTCCGGAAACAATTTCTCCACGCAATAATAAAACCTGTCCTGATAACTGCCCTTCTATATATAATCAATTGTATCTCTAAGAAATAGTAACTTTTTTTCAAAATTTCAAAGATTCTTAAGAAATCTAAGTCAAGAAAATTACAAATCTAAATAATTATATCAAAGTAAAATTTGGTGTTCTGAAATCTACCCCTTGACATACATATATATGTAAGCTTACTTTAATCTACAATACAATTCAATGAATACAATTTCTTTTTATCTAAACTCTTTTGAATTATTCTACTTTCATTTCAGGTTCAAGAGTTGCATACTATGAAACTATGATATATCCAGCTGTTCGGTTGAAGCGGAATATTTAACACTGATATAGTATAAGTGGTAGCTTTAGTTAATAAAAATTAATGGTTATTGTATATACAAATTGTTTGTTACAAGTTTGGTAATATATGGTTCATATAAAAGCAATTTTTCTTTAGATTTACCTAAAATCTTACCCGTTGAATAGTTTTATGTATTCATATTACATATGATAATATTTATAATACCACATATTGTATAATATAAGTTAGCATTTAAGAATTTGTTTAATAAATATATTACGAGAAAAATTCATTTATTACCAATATTGTATGTTTCACTTTGGATTTAGCAACTAAATAGTAAAAGAAAACATAATGTCTGTAATTATGAAGTACGTATGTAAGCGAGCAGTTTATCAATATTATAATAAACTTAGAAAACGTAATATTTCTCAACTCAAGTTGTCTGTCCATAACCTTCACATATTATAAATCACTGCTCGACATTGATTAAACTACCTGTAAAAGATAAATTAATGAAACCACAAAGTATCAGGTTCATTCATATTAAATTTATTGTTTTATAGAAAGAAAAGTACTTACATACCAGAATTTCTACCTTCTGTCGAATCAAAAAAGGTTAAACACACAGAATCAACAACAAACTCCTGCGAGAAATTTCATCGAACAGTCTTACATACTTATCGTTACAGGTCCTTGCATAAATGTCATATACTTATTTCATGAATTTACGAAATATCGAACACCACTTGAATATAATTTGCAAATCTAATAATGTAGAACCACTTTAATACATTTTCGACAAAACATCTTAGATTTATGTATTCTGCAGGGATAATTAATGTCAACACGTTCGTCAGGCTCTTTATAAGAATCGTCACTAACAGTAAATTATAAAAGATTCAAACATCTCAAACGGAACACGCACGGCATTAAAAGATTAAGGTATGAGATGGGAAACACGCGCGAGTAGGTAACTTTGTGACCACTTAATAATGTGCGCAATCATTACTGTGTCCAAATTTACTCTGTGATACTCTGCTTGTGCGCAATCCACTTGTTTCTAATTCTACTTGTCGCAATTCGACCTGTGTCAAATTCTTCCTGTGCGCAATGTACCGTTTCCAAAACATCGGTGCCCAATGCGACCATGGGCAATCCTACTGTGCGCAATCGATGGCCTCCCGAGGTGGTTTAGGACTATCTCCGCGGCAGGGAGGTGGTATTTACCGGCCGGTATCAGGTTGTGCACACGAGGGAAACGCACTGCGGGGTTCCGCAGGGGTCGGTCCTCGGACCGCTTCTGTGGAACCTTGCCTTCGACGCAGTGTTGCGGGTTGCCCTCCCCCCTAACACGGGTGTCATCTGCTATGCGGATGATTAATGCAGAGGGGGAGGACTGGAGTGGAGCCGGGCATGCTGCTGAGTCCGCCCTAGACTGTGTTGTCGGGAGAATCCGGAGGATGGGACTGACAGTGGCCACCGCAAAGACCGAGGCAACCTGGCTGTACGGATTGTCTCGCGCGCGGCGGCTGCCTTTAAATCGGGATCTCCGGATTCGCGTCGGGGATACCTCCGTCGACATCAGACCCACCATGAAATACCTGGGTCTGGTCGTCGAGGGCCGCTGGCGCTTCAAGGAGCACTTTGACCACCTGGCCCTCCGAATGGAGAAGGCGGCCGCCGCTTTAGCGCGGCTGCTGCCTAATATCGGGGGGCCGGAGTTGCGAATCCGTTGCTTGTACGCGGAGGTGGTGCGGTCGATGGCAATATATAAGGCCCCCGTGTAGCACCGCTCGCTCGAGCCAGCAAGCGCAACCGCGCTCTTTTTGAAAGAGTGCGTCGATGACTGGCCCTGCGGGCCTACGGGGATTCCGCACCATTGCTGCTGAAGCAGCGGGCTTCCTGGCCGTGATTCCCCCTTTCTATCTGGCGGGGGCGGAGCGTGCGGCGATGTACGGAATCGCCCGCCCCGCTCTCCGCCCTGCGGGGGTGGCAATCGCGATCATGGAGATAGAGAAGGTCGATGTGCAGAAGCGCCAGGCCCGGAGGGACACATTGGCCCGGTGGAAGAATGAGCTTGCTTCATCGGGCCGTCCGATTGTCCGGGCCATCCTGCCCATATTTGAAACATAGTGCAGGATGCGGGAAAGGTTGACCTTCCGCCTCACGTAGGTGATCTCCGGGCATAGATGGTTCGGAGAGTACCTGCACCGGATGAGGCGAGAGCCGACAGCGCAGTGTCACCACTGCGGCGAGGAGGTGGACACGGCGTGACATACACTCGAAGAGTGTCCGGCATGGGCCGCGCCGCGCCGTGCCCTAAGAACCGCAGTGGGTGGGTGGCACCTCTCGCTCGCTCGGCGGTCAGGGGTTCGCACGGAGGCGACGAATGTGGGGGACCGGGACGTGAGCTGACCCTGGACCCGGAGGGAATATAATCCCCCTCGGAACGCGCCGAGCATGTGTGGTCAGCCCGTCCCCCCTTGGACCACCGGTTCTTTTGGGGGCGCATGGGGGTGGGGTGGGGAGGATCGGTGTGTGCCGGATCACGCCACCAACGACCCTTCCTTACCGGTGTCGGCGTCTTCTGGTCCTGGCGTGCAGGGAGCTCATAGTTCCCTGAATCAGTACGGACATGAAAACGCCGTGGGCTGTGGACCGAGCGGGGACTCGGTTTCCCCCCCGGGAAACCAAGATATGCGTAACGCAATTCCCTACAATAAAAAAAAAGAAAAGTGCAGGGTGTTAAACGCGTTGGAGATGTCCAAAGACACCCCCAGCGCCACACCGCCCCGGAATACGACCGAGTCCACTAGCGCCATGACGTGCTCGATCGCATCAAACGTCGAGCGGCCTCCGCGAAAGCCATACTGGCACTCGGCCAAGCCGTGCTCACCGAGGCAGGACAAGTGGGTAGCGACGCGGGAAGCGAGCACACGCTCTAGAAGCTTTCCCGCCTCGTCCAACAAGCAAATGTGCTGGTACGCGGAGGGGAAGCCCGCGGGTTTACCCTTCTTCGGGACGAGAACGAGCCTCGCTCGCTTCCACTGGCGCGGCGCGCGCCCCAACCTCAGGCAACCATCCAGCAGCCGCCTGAAGCGGGGCCCACGGACGCGCAGGGCAATTACCTATGCCCGGCCGGGAATGCCGTCAGGGCCTGGGGCCGTGTTGCGGGCCCCGAGCTTAGCGACGGCATCGGCGAGCTCCTCTTCGGTGACCCTGTCGTTGGCGAACCAGATGATGCAGTGCGCTCGCTCGGCCGTCCGTCGTTCCTCCAGATCATCCGGGAAGAGCGCATCGACGACGCGCTCGAGCACGTCGGGGCCAAGACGCTCCGTAACCGGGGGCGCCGGTGGTCGCAGGCGATCACGGTCTAGAGAGTCCAGGAGCTCGTCCCAGGCCCGAGCTTTGGCGTCTTTAATGGACGACTGGAGGGCGACCATTGGCTGGCGGTAGACAGGGTACAGCTCCTCCTCCCTCGCCGGACCACGACTCCGTCTGCAGCGGTACCGCGTGAACTGGTGTCGGGCCGCCACACTGCTAGCTCGCATGGCAGCGATCTAGTCCGACCACCAGTTCACGGGCCGCCGCGGCGGAGCGCGGATCCGGGGCATCGCAGATAGCCGTCATTGCGTCCCAGAACCACTCTTCCTCCACCTCGACGTCGTCGCACGGTCCGGGCGGTGTTTCTGCCCAGGACATGGCGAAGGCTGCGGCTATCAGCGCGTCCTCATCAAGACGGCCTAGCGCCCTTCGGCGTCGTGGCTGTCGCCAGGCGGGGAGGCGGATGGAGTGGCCGTGCTGGGTGGCGGATACATCAAAGATGATGTGGAGGTGGTCGCTCAACGTTTCCACCTCCTCTGCCATCCTCCACCCCGACACGAATTCCGCGGCGGCGGGCGATGCCCAGGAGATGTCCACAATGGAACCTCCCCACCGCCGCGAGAACGCATTGACGACCCTCGGTTGAGTAACCGGAGGTCCAGTCCCGCCGCCCACTCCAGCACTGTATCTCCCCTCGCGTCCGTTCTGGGGCAACCCCAAGCCGTGGATTTGGAGTTGAAATCCCAGAGGACTAAGGTTGGTCGGGTTCGGCTGTATGATTGCACGCAATCTCAAACCCGATCCAACAACGTCTCAAAAGACGCGAGGGTCAGGCTGGACGGGGCGTAGACGCCTACGACCGCCAGGCCGCCATAGCGTGCCGCGACATAGCCGCGCCCACTAGCTAAGACGCTAAAGGGTGCGTCTCCCCTACTCAAAGTCGCCACGGAGCCCAAATCGTCCCCGGCCCAGTCTGGGCGATTGGGGACAAGGTAGGGCTCCGAGGCGACGACCAATCCCACCCGCAGCTCGGAAATTGTCTGGATGAGCAGATCCTGAGCCCGAGCCGCGTGGTTGAGATTGGCCTGTAGGACTGCGTCGCAGGGGGGCGTGGAGAACCTGTTTTAGGCAATCTCCATAGTCC